TCCGCGCCTGGTTCCTCTCAGGCGGGCGGTGCCTTGGGCGTCAAACAGCCCCCGTCAGAGCAGCCGCTTTGTGGAGGAGCTCACATGCATTTGTTTGCGTTTCAGAGTTCTTTTATTGTGCTGTAAGTTTGCTTGTATCTAGCAGTACATGATCGAGTATCGATTTGGATATCCGAAGCATTGCAAACAAAAAAAAAAAAGTACGTTACTGCTATTGCTTAGCAGGTAGTTGGTAGATTACTGTAGTGTGCTCCTGACTGGCGTGGTTTTTGAGGTACCATGAAAAAAGAATGGTCTTACCATGGTTTTAAGAAGGCGCATTCAGTTTTGTAATTAGTTTTTTTCTGGAATCTTAGCATTCTAGTTAAGCTGGGTATGAGGAACTCTTCTAGGATGTATTTGTTGGGCAGAAGAAGGATTTAGAGAAGTAGTTCAAGAATACTTAATGATTTGGTTTGTTTGTGGTTTTTCTTCTAATTTTTTCTATTACATTTCCTTGTAGAGAGATGCAGAGTTAATAGGAGTGCTGAGGTTTCTGGAGGTGTGTTCTGAATAAGTTAAGTCTGAACTGGTATATAGGTGAGTAAAAAGTAAAAGGTGATGTTGTGAACTGTAAAAATGTGACTGTATGTCATCGTTTAAATGAGGAAGAAAATTAACTCTAACCCAGCCAAAACCAGGATGCTGTATCAGTGCACTGCTGTTTGACCTGTGACAAGGAGGAAGCAAACGTTGATACGCACATTCTTTCTCTTCCTTTTTACATGTTTCTGCAACCAGGGCTTTGTTTCAGTGGTGGTGGTGAGCAAAGGTGCCCAAAGCATCAGTGGTGCACCTTTCTTCCAGGCAGACAGAATTCTTTTCGGAAGGTTGTTTCCTTTGATTAACATACTATCCCCCACCCCCTCCAAATTTACTTTTCTATTTTATTACTGGAAAAGTGAAAAATAAGGGTGCTTATTTAAGCAGGCATTTGTCAGTCCTCAGTTTGGTACTGCTTTTACTGGGAGGTGTTTTGGTGTGGCTGGTGGTTTGGGGTTCTGGGTTTTTTTCCCGTGGTGTTTTTTTGTTTGTTTGTTTGTTTTTGTTGTTGGCTTTTTTTGTGGTTTTGGGTGTTTTTTGTTTTTTTGTTTTTTTTTTTTTTTTTTTTTTTTTTTTTTTGGTTGGTTGGGGTTTGGTTTGGTTTGGTTTTTTGGTTTGTTTTTTATTGAGAAGTCATGTATCTTTCTCCTGCCTGAGATGTTCTGGTAAACTTTACAGTAGGAGTGGTTTGGGTTTGGTTTAGGTTTTTTTGTTGTTTGGTTTTTTTGTTGTTTGGTTTTTGGGAGTGTTTTGTTGTGGGTTTTTTTTTTGGGGGTGGGGGTGTTGTATTTATTTTTAGGGTTTTTTTTTTTTTTTTTGGTGGAATAGAATGATAGGGATTAATATTCTGAAGACAGATTATATGATGACTAGCATACTTCATGTATGCTTGCAATAAAAACTATCTTGGCAGTTCTGTTGAAGATTTTTTTGCAGGCTGAGGAACAGCTTGTTATAAGAACTTGTAGTTGAAGCTGACTTTCAGCTTTACATAAAAATTCATATATCAAGCATATGCTTTGTCCAGCCTATCCCTACGTGTTTATTCACTGTCTTGGCATTTGACAGATGTCTAACTGTAATGACTTTGTTAGAAGAGTGGCTTATTTAATGGAATATCTTGGTTAAATCGTCGAAGGGCTGCGCATGCCTAAACAATGTGAAATCACAGATACCCTGACAAATTTGAATGAAACTGGAAGCTGATCTTCAAGAGCAGATTATAGATGGAGTTCAGAGAAGTAACTGAAGGGTTTGAAGATACATAAGCTGTCAGAATCTGCATATTGAGATGGTACAAAACACACCTGACAAAATTGTTACTTGATGAGCAGTGCAGAAATGTTGGACATAGAAAATGTATGTCCAACATACATTTGGAATTACAGAAACTTAAAATGTGGTGTAGCTATAACTGATAATGTGTAGGCAGCCAGATTATGTAAATAGTAAAGCACAGAGCTAGAAGATGTCATTAATTTGAAGAGGTGATTTACACGGAAAAAGCAGGATAAATAAGGGAGGTGTCATTGGTCATTCATATCTTATAAAGAGAGAGAAAAGCGTACTGGAAATACTTTTACAGGTGAACTCCCCTTGTAACTACAAGTCCAGTGTAATGAAATACTGAATTGGCTTTTCTTTGGAGAGGTGTGCAGTTAAATTTACTGGATGTAGATAACATTTGTGAGATAACCAGAAATTGCATAAATTACATTAAATTGCTTTCCACTCTTTTGTTTTCTTCAAGCAGAAATACTTTTATTGGAGAAGAAATACAGTTATCTTCTCAGTCATCTGTCCCGTCTTGTTCTGCATTGCTGCATGTCCATTCCCCTTGTCTGTGACTGCCTGCCCTCCCCTGTTTTCTAATATAATCCTTAGTTCTATGTGTTATTCAGGGAACAGTTTTCTGGTTATGAATTATTCTCAAGTGATAAAATTGGTCTGTAGCCACGAGCAAGTCCAGAGGTGGTACTTTTCAGATGTTATCTCAACATGTGTTTACAAAGGAAATTTTTTAGTCTATCCCAGTTGCATAAAACATGACATTGTTAAATGCTTAGTATATAGTTTAACAGGAAGTGTAATAATATGGTATTAAAGCATTTTGAAAACAAATTTCATATAAGGAATTATTTGACAAAGAAAAAAATTGGAAAATTATCAGGCTGATCTTACTCCTTTTCATTGCAGACAGGATGGAATCTCTGACTCCCTCACCAAACGTAGTAGATATGAATCTGAAGATAACTTGTATAGAATGCCATCCTGAATGCTTGGTTATAGTGTTCCAAGGCCAATACAAGGCAGGATGCGAACTTGACTATTACATACTACAAAACGAAATTCAGCGTATATTCAAAGTAAAAGATAAGATCAGCATTGGTGGATCTTGTTTGGTGGAAGACACAGAAGGAAAATGGCATAGAGGAAGAGTTCTGGAAAAGAAAGAGAATACCTGTAAGGCTTTTCTTATAGACACGGGGCAAGTTCTAGTGGTTGAGGAAACACATCTTGCTTCTGCTTGTGATGAATTGTTTACACTGCCTCCAAAGGTGGTTTTGGGTGTTTTTGCAAGCATACTTCCTCTTGGAGAAAAATGGGGTCCAAGAGCCATTAACTATTTTTCATCTCTGGTGGGATTACAAATTACAGGTCACGTAAAAGCTGTTATGCCATACCAACTGTTTATTCTAGAAGTGCCAAAGATCATTGGTGATGTTATTGAACTGCAGTTAGGAAAATTTATTGATGGGGATTCATTTTGTCTTATTGTAGAAATGTTAAGATCATTTCCCCAAGAAATGCTTTGTAAGAGAGTGCCACAGTTGTTGCAACAGAAGTTTCCAGTCAAGGATTTGCTTACTTTCAGTAATTCTGAGAAACCAACAGATTTTTGGCCAGTTCCAGGTGATCTCTTTCCCCGTCTACCTGTTGGCTGTCAGGAAAACGTAAGAATAACTGTTGCAATTAGCCCAAATAAATTTTACTGTCAGATACAGAAATGGCAGAAAGAGCTGGAAGATTTGACAGGAGCTATGCATTTGTACTATGAAGCTGTCAGTACAGAAAATATGAAATCTTTTGATAGTTTAGGGCTACTCTGTGCTGCCAAAAGGCAAAATGGGAAATGGTATAGAGGAGTGATAAAACAGTTTCTCCCTGACCATGTGGAAGTCTGGTTTATGGATTTTGGCAATACTGAAGCTGTGCCATCTAGTTGCATTCAGAAACTTAAAGTAGAGTTCATGGCATTGCCAATGATTTCATTTCCATGTGCGCTGTCTTGTTTTGGTAGTCAGGATGAAACAGTAATAAAAACCCAGCTGAAAGAACTTACACAGGCCTTGATAGGACAAACTTCTGTGTGTGTCCGTGTTGATTTATTCAATGACATTAAATGCTTGTATTATATTACGCTGCAAAATCAAACCCTTGGAATTCCTGCTAAGCAGTCAGAAAACCTGAATGAGGCAGCTGCATCATGTGTCTCACTTTTGGAAACAAAAATCACAAGTATTGCTGTAAACTACCAACTGTGTTATGAGAGATACAATTCATTAAAGAATTGTACTGAAAATAAATATACAAAAACCTGTTTACCTGAAAGAGATATTTCTTTGTCAAGCCACTGCGAAAGAGTAGAAATGAAAATTAATTCTTTCCACACTGCTTTTGTGGTGTATGTCATAAATCCATCTAACTTCTGGATTCAAACATGTGAATATCAGTATGAATTTCAAACCTTGACAAAAAATATTGCAGCCACATATAACCAATGTGGAGCTGATGAAATGGTCCTGAAAAATCCAGAGCCTGGAATGGTGTGCTGTGCCCGGTATAGCAAAGACATGCATTATTATCGGGGTGTTGTCATTGAAGTGCTTAATGTAGACATTACTGTTTATTTTTTGGATTTTGGAAATACAGATACAGTACCCTCTTATGATGTGAAAACATTGCTCCCTGAGTTTTCCAGTTTACCAGCTTTAGCTATGTGTTGTGCACTTGCTTTCACATTTCCTGTGGATGATGTGTGGGTTAAAAAGGAAATAGATTTCTTCAAAGATACTGTGTTTAACAAACCACTGCTACTTCATGTAGTTGGAAAGCAAAACAACAAGTATTTTGTTAATGTCCATTATAGGAATGGTTTGGAGCAAGGAAATGTTGCCACATGTATGATTCAAGCTGGATATGCTGAATACTGGGAAAAGGCACCAGATTCTGCTCGAAATTCAGCAAAAAAAAATCGAGCACTGAATTCTCAGAAAATTAAGAAACAAAAAGTGAATGCACAGAGCACATGTAATACTCGTAAAAATAAGGTATCTGGAAATGGAGAGATATTGCATAAGGAAAAATCTTTAAGTGTGCCTTCAGTGCCAAGAGAATCTGTTGTGCTGTCCTGTTTTGGAAAAGATGCTGTTGCTGAAAGGTATAAATTGCTACGTGAGGAGAAATTATTTTATAAAGAGTTTGTGTTTAAACCAGGAGCGGTTTTTGAAGTGGTGTGTTCTTGCATTGTTTCCCCAGCAGATTTTTCATGCCAGTTGCAAAGCAAACTGCCAGAGCTAAATAACTTAATGGAACAAATTCAGACTTACTATGAAAAGCATATCAGTCCTTACAAAACTGGACAAGTTGCCTGTATTGTTAAATGTCCCAAAGATGGGAAGTGGTACAGAGCAACTGTTGTGCAGCAAGTATCCACAAATGAAGTTGATGTGATTTTTGTAGACTATGGTTATCGAGAAAGAGTTTTACTTAAAGATCTTCAGGCTGTTCTTCCTGATTTCCTTACTCTGGAAAGTCAAGCATTTCGATGTGCACTTAAAAATGTACTCTTACAGATTGACTCACTTAATTGGTCTGAAGAAGTGTGTAGACGTTTTGAAGACTTCATTTCTGCTTCTGGAGGACCGCTGACTTGTATTATTTATGCTCTTGCTCTTGTAAGCCCCAACTGTTTGTGCAATATAGTTGACTTACAGACTCCATTTATTAGTGCGGAGGAATTCTTCAGAGAAATGGATGGTGGACTCAATCAGTCTGAATATACTGGTCTGAGAAACCTTGCATCTTTGGGTTCTCTAGACAGTTTTTGCTACTCATCTTTTAATCTAAAAGTTGGAGGTGAGGAGGAAGTTTATATAACTCACATACATAGTCCCACAAAATTCTATTGCCAGCTTAATCGAAACACTGAAACTATAGAGGCGTTGATGGAGAAGGTGGGTGTCGTAAGTAAAATGTCAAATAATGCAAAATATGATGCCAGCAGTATGCGATTATGTATAGCCAGATATTTTGAAGATGGTCTCTTTTATAGAGCTTTGGCTTTTCCTGTGGAATCAACATCCTACTTATGTGCTGACTTCGTGGATTTTGGAAATCAGAGTATGGTAGAGAGAGACCAGTTGATGCCTATTCCAGACTTTGCCACTGACCTAATATTCACACCTATGCAAGCTATTAAATGCTGTCTGTCAGATCTTAGGGAGACAAAAATTCCAGCAAGAGTTACTAGATGGTTTGAGGAAACATTCCTTGGTAAATTGCTGAAGGCTGTAATTGTATCCAGAGAATCAGATGGACAGATTCTTGTGGAGTTGTATGATGGACAGCTCAAAGTAAGTCAGAAAATAAAAGAAAAAGTATCGGAAGA